TGAGGAATTATTGATCACTCTTCCTTCTTTAAGACTCCTCTTTAGACTGTGGTTACATTAGTACTAAGCAGGCTACTGAGGAATATATTGATCACTCTTCCTCTTTAGACTGTGGTTACATTAGTACTAGCAGGCTACTGAGGAATATATTGATCTCTCTTCCTCTTAGACTGTGGTTACATTAGTACTGGCAGGCTACTGAGGAATATATTGATCTCTCTTCCTCTAGACTGTGGTTACATTAGTACTGGCAGGCTACTGAGGAATATATTGATCTCTCTTCCTCTAGACTGTGGTTACATTAGTACTGGCAGGCTACTGAGGAATATATTGATCTCTCTTCCTCTAGACTGTGGTTACATTAGTACTGGCAGGCTACTGAGGAATATATTGATCTCTCTTCCTCTCTAGACTGTGGTTACATTAGTACTTGGCAGGCTACTGAGGAATATATTGATCTCTCTTCCTCTCTAAGAACTGTGGTTACATTAGTACTGGCAGGCTAACTGAGGAATATATTGATCTCTCTCTTCCTCTAGACTGTGGTTACATTAGTACTGGCAGGCTACTGAGGATATATTGGACTCTCTTCCTCTAGACTGGTGGTTACATTAGTACTTGGCAGGCTACTGAGGAATATATTGATCTCTCTTCCTCTTTAGAACTGTGGTTACATTAGTACTGGCAGGCTACTGAGGAATATATTGATCTCTCTTCCTCTTTAGACTGTGGTTACATTAGTACTGGCAGGCTACTGAGGAATATATTGATCTCTCTTCCTCTAGACTGTGGTTACATTAGTACTGGCAGGCTACTGAGGAATATATTGATCTCTCTTCCTCTAGACTGTGGTTACATTAGTACTGGCAGGCTACTGAGGAATATATTGATCTCTCTTCCTCTCTAGACTGTGGTTACATTAGTACTAGCAGGCTACTGAGGAATATATTGATCTCTCTTCCTCTAGACTGTGGTGTTTCTCTTAGCAGTCTTACCATCTCCCTCCCCCTCTCCGTCTCTCCCCCCCTCCCCCTCTCCGTCTCTCTCTTTCATCCGCCTTTTTTCTCTGCCTATCTATTTATCAATCTCACCCTCAATTTCATCCCTCACTCCCTCTCTCCAAAACAAGGTCTTCTGTTGCCATGGCAAACACATATTACGCCAAACCAGACACAACACACACGCATGAACGCACACACACACACACACACAAACCCAGACACCCGGAGTCATCAAACTAACAAGAGTGCAAGCAGCAACACAACAATCTAACAACACAACAACCAATCAATCACTTTCTCTGTCACCGTCTCTCTCGCTCCCACATGGAGTATCATTCTCTCCCTCCTCCCTCTTCCTCCCACTCTCTCTCTATTCCCTTCAGGCCTGCTTTGAACAGGAGTAGACACACACACACAGAGGGAATGGGAGAGGCAGGCCTGCTTTGAACAGGAGTAGACACACACACACACACACAGAGGGAATGGGAGAGGCAGGCCTGCTTTGAACAGGAGTAGACACACACACACACACAGAGGGAATGGGAGAGGCAGGCCTGCTTTGAACAGGAGTAGACACACACACACACACAGAGGGAATGGGAGAGGCAGGCCTGCTTTGAACAGGAGTAGACACACACACACACACCCACACACACACAAACACACACACACACACAGAGGGAATGGGAGAGGCAGGCCTGCTTTGAACAGGAGTCGACACACACACACACAGAGGGAATGGGAGAGGCAGGCCTGAAGGGAGAGCAGAGCAGGTGGTACACTAGAGGGTTACTTATGTAAGTAGTTGATAGGATGATGTTCTTCACACGCTGAGGAGAGAGAGAGAAGAGAGATAGAGGTGAGAGAGACTGTCTATAGC